ACTGGAAGAAGTGTGGAGGTACCGTGCCCCATTCAAGTTTAGTATTTGCGTTGATGTTCCTGCTCTTGTAAAGTAAGTTTGTAGATGAAAATCTCAAGTAATATGTTTGATAAATTTCAGCGACTTCCATGAAGATCTAGAATTCCGTTTCACATTCGGTCTCCATGCTATGATTCGGCGGATAATCGCCTACCGCAGTGGACAGCCAGTCACCGCTATCAACACGAACCTCTTGACACCATTGTCTTTGAAAGCACAAGCTGAGAAGAATGTAGTGAGAGATGCTGATGCATCTGCTGCTGCCGAGGACCGCCCACTTTTCCCCGGAATTTGCGGGGGTCTCGTACTCTTGTCCGAAATCAATGCACGTTGCGGCCGAGAAAACAACGGTGGGCGGAGCTTAGCTCCCACAGAGAGAAACTTACTGTATTTTTCAAATTATTGCACGCGCCTTTGATACAGTACCTCAACATTTATCGAATTTTCTCAAATTTCTCTCATTTTTTCGCTTGTTTCTGTCTAATTTTGTGTAATTCTTAAAAATCTTTAATTTATTTTTCTTATAAAATAGAAAAAAACAGCCAAATAGGGCCCAAAATAAAAAAAACGTCCGAGGTACGGTATTTAAAGGCGCATGCATCAATTTTTTTTTTCGCTGTGCGACCGACGATGCGACTTTGAGTAAATTTTCGGCCGCAACGTGCATTGATTTCGGACGAGAGTAATACAAAAAATAATAAAAAACGAACGAAAAAAATGTCTTGAAAACTACAGTAATCCTCATTCTTTTGAAATTCCCTATTCTTTCTTTAATAGGTTTCATCCTACTAAGTTCATGCGGTTATACACAAAAAAAATAGCATAATATTTACGGGGAAACAATTATAATCACAGTTGATGGTCCATCTAGCGACATAAATGAATTCTAAATTATAAAATCTGAAAAAAAGGGACAATTACAACCATTTAATATTAATGTAAAAGAGATATATTATAAAAGAGATCCTTGATTGGCAAATGGAAAATTTAATCTATTAGGTGCAATCCATTTGGTCGCCCAAAACATCCTCGTCATCGGATAGGGACAATGGCATTGCTGGGCGAGTTCTACTGGTTTCTATTGATTTTACAGGTTTCTTGCTTTGATATGTGCTACTCGAGTGATTATGTATTCTCATAGGTTTGGCAGAATGTACCGATGAAGTGATTATTTCGTCTTCCAACGGTATCGATGGACGTGATTTTCTTGGTTCAGCCTGCAAAAAGAATTACTTTTATATCTGTATGTAGACTGTAAGTACCTTTTCAATGACCTTCTGAACCGTTTCTCGTTCAACTCCTGAACGTTCAGGAACATTTCTCGCCAATTTCTGAATCCATCCAATGACTCCTCGTGTCTTTTGAACACTTTCTATCGCTTCGAGCTTTTTAATCGATACTTCATGTTGTGTGAACTGTGGTTTATTGTCAGAATAAGATCTCGCAGCATGATTAGACGATTTTCGACCATTCTTCTTCTTTGTTGCTGGAAGCTCTTCTGGCTTTTCGCGTCTGTAAATTTTGTCCAAGAATGATTCAATAGTTTCCACGGTGAGGCCATGAGCCATTGCTTTGTTGGAGAGAACATTATCATTTGTTACGAGATAGACAGATGGGTGATTTAACTTCAATGACGAAGCGATAGAGAGAACTGCAAAATGATTTCAATCGGTTATATGTCAAACATCATGTAAAATTACTTACCTTCGCTCTTGACTCTTAAAGCACATTTCAATATTCCGTCATCATTAACCATCTGATCCGGCAGGAACTCTTCAATGTTTATCTGTTTCTCTATACTTGTCTCTACCGAAATATAGCTATTATTCGCTTCTTGAAGTATTCTCAACGTTCTACTGACATCACTGGCTGCCAATCTTGCATTTTTTGAACCCTTCAACCCGTCAAGTTCATTAAGAACTATGTAAGGAATGACTGTGAGAATGTTATCTGAAATTCAAAGCCTAATCAATTACAGCAGAAAAGAATTTACTCACTTTCGACGGACGCATTCAAAACGTTTGGATCTTTGAGGAGAGCGCATGTGTCGAATATTGCACATCCACGATACGGGATAAGGTTCAGAGGACGAATCTTCGAAGACCACGGAACAGTAGGAGTTATTTTCTTGGATTCAGAGTTGGAAGCTTCATAAACCCTCGGAAGTTTCTCAACACTTGCAGATGATACTTTGGGACGTTTGGGTGCTATATCTTCTTTTTCTGGATCTTCTGTAGTTTTCCGTTTTGGTGGAGGAGGCAGGTCAACTTCCTGAATTTTTAGTTTATCTTCTTTTGATTTAGGAATGACGGTAACTACCATTCTATCATCGTCCGCTACATTACTGACCACTTTTTGTCGTTTTCTAGGTTTCTGAGGAGATGGTTTCTTTCCTATCAGGGTACTAGGATGTTCCCAAATGGATTGATTTGTTTCTGTATTTCTATAAAAGGCTTTATCCTTTTCCGGGTGATACCATGCCTGCCAAGGAGGAGAAACGTTCGCCGTCTTGTCGTCAACCCTATATTTTTTTGGTTTTTTGGTGGAACTCATTTGGAATCCTGTAAAGCTTGTAGTTTGAATTGAAAGCTGTGAAAAAATTGAAATATCGTATTTATTTCTGGATAATAACCCAAATTAGAAATAAATTTTGAATAAATCAAACAATGAACAATTTATTTACAGAAAAAATTAAAACAGTTGTTTCAGTGTTAACCAGATAAATCCCCACTGAATATTCGATTTGCATTGGCTTCAATCAATTTGAACTCTGGAGTTTCTAATCTGGCTCGAAGAAAACTTTTTTCATCTTCTGTCAAAGGCTCTTCTAGTCGAGTCAGAGCCATCAGAATTTCAAATTTTCGCTCTAGGTATTCCTGTTTAGAAAGTTTCTCACTTCGAAAATTAGTCTCAGTCTGAAAGATAGCATTTTATTCTGCTCAGATTAATTTTAAAATCACCATCATAAGCTTTTCTCGGAGCAGACCAGTATGTTTTCCAGCAAACAATGCCATCACTTCCGGCGTCTTGAACGCTTTACTGATTGCTGCTCGGATGGCAATTTTTGTGGCAGTTAAATCATCAATTAGTGAGACATCACCGCCTTGCAGCTTTTCGACAATTTTGCTATATTCTTGGAGTTGATCAATAGTGTCTTCTTTCAGCTCGTTGTACTCTTTCTCCTCGAGTGTTTCTCTGAAATTGGTTACTGTGAAAGTAGTTGAAAGTCGTTAAAAAGATCAATTACTTTTCATTCTCAATTTCAGCCAACTGCCGGATCAAGCGATCGATAGTTTTTTGTGCATTTCTGATCAAAGCTTCATCGACCCCCATTTTCAGAACCGAAAGAAACAACGAAACTTTCCGTTGCGCGTAAATTAAAATCCATCGCGTACGCAAACATCGCACAGGGAAACCTCAGAAATATAAAAATTGAAATCAGAAAGAAGTGAAACGGGGAGACCGTACAAATCGGCAAGAATTGAAATTCGCAAGAAACGAATCGGCAAGGACGCTAAACCGTGCACAGTTTTGCTGTAATCGCGTGCGCAGGCTGCAAAAAAGGGCGAGGTTTATCTGAATTGAACGAGAGATTTCTGAACTGTAAGAGATAT